TAAAGAGGGGGACCACGGACACCATGGCTCCCCCTTCAAGGCGCTACCATATTCAAATGCCTCATAAGATCCAAGTGCATTTGACTGTCAGACAATGGTTTAAAGCCGAGACTGTCGTGGAAAAATCCTTCCTATGGTTAAATGAAATACCACGAAGTAGTGTGTGCATTATGAGCTATTTAAATCCAAGAAAATTATACAAAACTATATATATATATATATACACATATGTATGGAAAAGGCATTCAGAACAGTCTCCAGACTTTTCCAGGTGTAGTCACCATACAATTAATAACAACTATCTCCTCAGGGTGGGTAATGAATTTGAACAGAGGGTAATGAATTTGAATGGAAAGGCCAGATGCACGATTAATTTGTGTGACTTACACATTTCTTTTTTTAAGATTTTATTTATTTATTTGACAGAGAGAGGCACAGCGAGAGAGGGAACACAAGCAGGGGGAGTGGGGGAGGGAGAAGCAGGCTTCCCGCTGAGCAGGGAGCCCAATGTGGGGCTCGATCCCAGGACCCTGAGATCATGACCTGAGCTGAAGGCAGACGCTTAACGACTGAGCCATCCAGGCGCCCCAACTTACACATTTTTTTAAAGAATGTGAGTAGGCACTGTCTGCAAGGTTGAGGGAAGAGCAGCCTGCTTGAACAGAGCCCCAACTTCAACCTCTCTGCATCCTCTTGAGCCCTTCCTGATGCTGGACTCAGCACGTAGCTGACATATTTATGGTTCTTCAAAATTTACGAGTATTTTCAGGCATTCATTTACTCGAATCTTCCCAACAGCCCTTGGACAGATTTTTATTGCCTCTACTTGACAGATAAGCCAACAGCTGCTAAGAACAGGTAAGGGACTTGCCTTGGCTCCTAGAATTCACGGAGTAGGAGACAGATTCAAATCCAGGCCTTCCAAATCTGAAGCCTAGCGCTCTTGCCACTTCGCCAAGTGGAAAGCAGTTAATACCTGCTGGTATGAATTAACGTTCTTATCGCTGCTTTATAAGGAGCGCTTTGTTCCAGTTGGGTTTCCAAGTGGCATTGGCCAGCCCACCTGCTTTCGTGAAGGGCAGCCATCTCTGTCCATCAGCTGAGAAGGTTTGTATTGCTGTCTTCTGGATGCTTCAAATCCCCACCCATCGATTTCTTTTCCTGTTATCTTTCCTCAGAGAGCCTTTCCATAAGCTGCTGGCCCAAGGCCTTATCAAGGGGCAGACATTCCGCCGACCATCAGGACAGTATCTCCAGAGAGAGGAAGTAGATCTCACAGGTAAGAAAAATACCCATCTGGACCCATCCAGGTACATCAGGCCAAAGCAAGTGTTTGCCCGGGGCCTCGGCTGGGTGGAAAATCCAGGGTCTCCAGGCCTCTGCCTGCTGTGGGCTGGTGTCCTCTGAAGGCTGGAGCCAGGATGGCTGCCCGCCCGTCGGCCCCAGCCCCATCCAGCGTCCATTTGCTTCTGGCGGGGTTTTCGTTTGTATGTAACCCAAAGTCAGCCGGGGCATCACCTCATGTCCTCGCTCATGTTTGACATGGCGTCTCAGGAACAGAGCCCCGAGACCCAAGAGGCGCTCTTCTAAGGCTGGGGTATCCCAGCACTTCTCCCTAGGTGGTCTCAAGGTGCATGTCAGCCCTTCAGGGCCACCCCGATACTGAACCCCTTCAGCACCCTGGAGCAGCCCTGTCTGGCACTCCCCTGACTTCCCTTGCACTTTTGCTCAGGGGTAGTTCCTCGCAGCAGATCTTGAGGTGGCACCGTGACGATGTCATGTGCACCCAGCCTACCGATGAAATCAGTAGAAAATGGGAGTGGGGGGTACATAGGGGCACCATTCAGCTTAGAAAACCCAGGGCACAACAGAGGCAATCATGTAAACCCAACAACCCCCTAATGGTAGGCAGCGTCCCAAACCAAACACTAGAGAAAAGATTTAGGTGGAAGCCATTAATGGAATTACCTAATTAATGCAGTAATATATCAGGGTTTGGAATGGTCCGAGGGAGAAAAAGAAGCTGGAAGAGCAGAAATTGTTTCGCCAACACGGGCCAGAGGGGAAAGGAGCCAAATCCAAAGGGCACGTACATTTCAGTTGGTAGTGAAGTGCTGTCTGTGTTAAGGGCAGGGCTGCCATGTACAGTTGGGCAGCGTGTGCCCTGCCCAAAGGCACCCAGCCAAGGGGGTGAGCAGGGCCTGAAATCCAGCCTCTTGCCACACCATACACTCAGGGCCACATTTGCCAAGAGAGGGCACCTTTTTCCTACTCCTCAACTGCTCTGCCCTGATCGTTGGCTTTTTCCTAATTTGCACAACGGTGCTGGAAAGAGTAGCTACAGCCCGGAGGAGGTGTGCAGGGTAAACGGACAGCCCGGATGAAGCAACTTCAGTCTCCCTTGGCTCCAATGTCATGGGGCCAGACAGTGTTGTGAACATCTTTTCCCTTCCCACGCAGACTTGCCCGCTGGGAGAGAAGCAAGGGCAGGCTTCCATCTCCTTAATGGGTGCGCTTCTGCTAAAGTATGGAATTAGTTCTTAGGTACATACATCAGTCCCTTGGGAGTTTGGTTGCCATTGGAGTCTGGGACTACCTGGCTGGAAGGAACAGAAATGCACCCAAAGGCAGGTGGAGCACAGGATATAGAGATGTCACCCCAAGCAAGCTGCCGGCGCTCCAGCCAGGCCTCGCAGCATGCCCGCAGCCACGGATGCCGCACAGATACCAGTCCTAGGACTTCTCCTCTCTCCTTCGATGGCCCCTGGTTCCTCTTCCTCCTTTCCTCTGTTTTTCTGCCCTGTTCTCCTTCCTCCGCCAGGCTTGGCTTCTGCCCTGCCCCAACTCCAGGGCCCAAGGTGACCTTGGGGAGCCACGATGCCACGTCTGGCCCCATCTCCTTAGGACTTTACGGTTCCAGTGCCCGGCAACATTGAAACAAGAGCTTCTGTCTCTCAGTTCCGGGTCCTGAGAAAGACCTTGGCCTTGCCAGATGTCCTTCCTTGTCCCAGCCCCTGGAGCTTGGCCACAAGGTCACCTCATCCCACCCTAGCCATAGAAGGCCTTCTCTGTCAGCACCCTCGGGACCGGTGGTGTGCGGGGTGGGGAGGAGCCACTTCCAAAGAACAGGGCACATGGCATTCCACGTGAGCCCAGTGAGCTAGTTCCACGGAGCCTGCTCGCGAGAGACCCTGACTGGTCAGCTGCCGGCTCCCAGAGGAGACCGTGCATCCGTAAAGAAAACAGCAAAACAGGCAAAGCTTTGCTACCCTGTTTTTTACTTTCTCTTTTGTATAAACGTAGTTTGCTTTTATAAAGCAGGAAGTTGCTTTGTCTCGTTTTGGGGTGGAGAAGAAGCAGGTGCGGGCCATCACAACCGTGCTGTGCTCCCGAAGGGAAGGTTTGGGGTGGGAGGTGGGCCTCACTCGTTTCAAAACGAAACGGAAACACTTCCTGTGATACACGGTAGAGAGAGAGAAAGGGGTGTGTTGAGCCATCCTTCACGTGGACACTTCGAATTGCTCTTATTGAATGTGCTTGTGTAGAACTGCCTAGAGCCACACCTTCCGTCCCCGTGTGTTTTTCCGGCGTGCAGGTGCTGTTCCTGTTCATGCAGAAACGAAGGAGAGGTTGGAGGTGACGTGGGAGAAGATGAGCAAGTCCAAACACAACGGGGTGGACCCCGAGGAGGTCGTCGAGCAGTACGGCATCGACACCATCCGGCTCTACATCCTTTTCGCCGCCCCTCCTGAGAAGGACATCTTGTGGGATGTGAAGAGTAAGGCCCCTTCCTCTCCCCCGCCTCCTTTGTGATCTGCCCCGGACACCGGAGGAGTTTGGGGAAAGGAAATGTCCGGGCTGAAGACAGTAGTAAGGTTTCTAGGAATCAGTTCCATGAAGCGAGTAGCGTGGTTTGTCCGACATCCTGTGCCATTCTTAGCCTGGGGTTCCCAGATGGAATGAACCTCAGAATGTCGGGGGGGCTGCTGGCCATTGTGGATTCCCAGTCCTCACCCCAGACCTCCTGACACAGCATCCGGGGGGCCCCAGGAACCTGCCTTTGGCGAGTCTGTGGTGTTGCTGATGCAGGTTCTACATCATTCCGCTGGAGAACATTCCCCGGGAGCCAAATTGGCTTCCATGCCACTCCGGGGCCCCTCTGTGGTCCACGGAGGCCAGTCCCCTCTTGATCTACCCTGAAAGGTTTGTTCTAGGGCAGGGTCGTCGCCCCTTCCCAGCCCAGAAAACCCCGCCCTGGGGCCTGCTCCTGATGTTCCCTGTGACCCCCTCCCTCACCCACAGCAGCCTCCAGAGCGCCCCCCTCAGGGGAGATTTGTCTCTGCAGGGTTGGTTAGATCTGAAAAGGGGTGAGTAAAATCTTGTTGGGTATCTGGATGTCCTAGAATACACGGTCCAGTGGTCATTCAGTTTTCCTTCCGCCGTCTGCCCCAAGGGTTGCTGTGGCAGAAGCCGCCAGATGCCTGGATCACCGCTTATGCCACGTGCCCTTGCCCGTGATAAGTGTGGCACAGGGGCCAGTCCCAGAACGGGCAGCGTCGGAATCACTGGGGACGTACAGAGGGCGCACGTGTGGGCACAGGCGTCTTTGGGGACACCTCTGCGGCAGCAGGCGTTCTCACTCAAGGCAGCTGGGCACAGGGGGCCCATCGTGGCCCAGGCTTCTGAGCTTGTTGTGGCCTGGGGTGGTTGGTGGGCGGCACTCTCAGGAGCCCTGCGGTCCAGTGCGCCAGATACCCGGGGCTCTGGGGTGTGACGGAGTCTGTGCTGCTCTGAGCTCCCGGAAGCTGGAGGCCAGGGTGGCCCCCGTCACTCCCATCGGGGCACAATGAAGCATGTCTTCAACGCACCCGTGCCTCTCTGGGCTTGGGGAGAACCACATCAGTCATTCACGTGTCTGTCTTTCTTGCTCTCTCGTGTCCCGACGTGAAACCCAGCCGATGCCCTTCCTGGGGTGCTGAGGTGGCAACAACGTCTGTGGGCCTTGGTGACCCGCTTCATCGAGGCCAGGGCTCCCGGGACGGCTCCCCAGCCCCAGCTGCTGAGTGACGAGGAGAGAGCCGAGAGCAAGAAGCTCTGGGAGTACAAGAACTCGGTCATCTCTGAGGTCAGGAGCTTTCTGGGGGTGCTGCTTAATTCTGTGACTGAGCACGTGTGGTCCGGGTGGACCACCCTGCCTTGGGGCGGGCCGCTGTTGGCCTTGCTCCTTCCTCACTCTGGCATCCCCCCGGCCTTGAAGGGTTCCCTCACCGTGTCGAGTAGCTCACCAAGCTGGAGCAGCCGGCCACATGCTCTAATGGAAAGACATGCTCTCAGCAAAGGGCTTCCTCCAATGGTGTCCACCACGTGTCCATCCCAGATCTCGGGAGGCCGCCCCCTTCCCACAGGCTCCACGCTTCACGCTCGGGCAGAGAACCAAATGCAGGGTCACGCTGCTGACACACTGCATACGGGATGAACAGAAACGGAAGCGTAGCACTGGAAGGGGCATGAAGAGGCTGCTCTTTGGCCTCCTCATTTTACAGATGGGGACAGAGATGAGGCCCAGAGCCGAGAATCCAAGTTCCTGGGTGCTCCGCATAGTGAGGCCTTCCGCACCCAGTTACGTTGTTACACAGTATCTGTGTGAATTATTGTGGGTTAATTTTTGCAAATAAATGATGTGTTCGTGTTACCCTCTTAGAGAATGTTTTATTGTCTAAAATCGTTTTTTTTTTTCTTTTTTAAAGATTTTATTTTTAAGTAATCTCCACACCCAACGTGGGGCTCGAACTCATGCCCCCGAGATTAAAAGTCGCATGCTCCACTGACTGAGGCAGCCAGGCGCCCCTGACTCATTTTAAAAGATTCTTCACTGATAACAAATCCCTATAAATTTCTTCTCTAGAAGTCTGATACCATACCACGACCTTTGCCTTTTTAAGCACTTTGTGAAGAAAATGTCATATGTTTTTGAAAGAAGGCATTTAGGGGATCCAGAGCTATTTTTAGGGGGTGTCACTCCTTAGGCCGAATTTTTACTGTTATTTTTATTTTTTAGAATTGCTGATTTGAACTTTTAAAGTCAGCCAAGGTCACTTTTTTGGACTTTGGTAACTGATGACATTGAAGAAACAGGGTTTTCATGAGGCCCTGGGTCCAGCATGGTCTCATTCGGTGACACTTCTTTTTTTTTTAAGATTTTATTTATTTATTTATTCGATAGAGAGAGAGAGACAGCGAGAGAGGGAACACAAGCAGGGGGAGTGGGAGAGGGAGAAGCAGGCCTCCCGCTAAGCAGAGAGCCCGACGTGGGTCTCGATCCCAGGACCCTGGGATCATGACCTGAGCCGAAGGCAGACGCTTAACGACTGAGCCACCCAGGCGCCCCTCAGTGACATGTCCTCAGGGTATATTCCCATCCACTCTACTCTAGTGTAGAGACACAGAGCTCACTCAGTTGACCTTTGTGATGTGAATGATGCCTGAATGACTGTTTTCATGCCACATACTTCCTGTCTGGATTTGGCACATTCTTCTCTTCTGTCAGATCATAGAACAGGGGTATTTCGACAAGTTGGAAACTCTTGACATCTTCAGATGTGTTGTTTTTCTGTATTCTTGGCCGTGGTTGAAATTGAGAAGCACACAAACAGGAAGAAGCTGACAAGTCAGCTTGAGTGTTCTTATGTTGACTCCATATTTGAAAACGCAAAACTCATCTTATCCCTTATATGAATAACCTTCGTTGTGAATGAAAGTCACGGAGCCACAGGGAAGGGACATCCTGTACCCCATCTCCCGGTGACTGTTGTTTTGATGTTTGCTCATCTGCAGGTCCTGCCTCCTGTCTGGGTGGTTAGAAGCGTTTGATGTCCCCCTGGGAGAACCAACACTGTCCCAGATGTGGGGGGGGGGAAACGCTGGACAGTGGAAACATCATTGACCCTGATTTTGAAAATCTTTGTACCGATGAAACATTACCGTGATTATCCGAGATAGTGAAAGCATTTATAAATATCTTTGATTGCATTCATTTAATTCATATTTTTTTGGATAATTCATTTGCTTTATTGTTGTGTTGCATTGGTTTTTTGTGGAAAGCTCAAAGGGATTTTGAAGAAAGTGAATAATTCAACTTTTATCCATAGGTGACTGCCCATTTCACAGAGGACTTCTCACTGAATTCTGTAATTTCTCAGCTGATGGGACTCAGCAGTGCCCTCCTGGTAAGTGGCTCTCCTGTCCTCATTTGCTGGTAACAGGGGAGGGTGGGTGGCCTCGAGCCACATTGTGAGGTGGCCTGCAGGATCCTGGATGGTGGACAGAGAGCAGGACCATGGTGTCACCTCCTTGGTGTGGCTCTGTTATCTTAAAGAAGCCTGTTTTCCATAGTCACAACCTAGTTTTATAGCTGGAAGGTTCTTAAAGGTTGTCTGGTCCAAAGCCCACCCCCTCACTCCCCTCCCCCACCCCCATATTTTGCAGATGAGGACACTGACACCCAGGGAGGTTCGATGACGTGTCTGGTTGATTAGTGACAGATCAGGACCAGACTTGAGCCCCCTTCTCTCCCTGCTCTGCTCTTTTCTTCCTGCTTCCGCTGCCTGCTCTCCTGATTGATCTGATACCCCCTTGGCATCATTAACATGTTACACTCCTTTAACCTGGACAGGTCAGATTTGTGCTCACTAAAAGCAAAAGTCAGCCTTTTTAGCATAGATTCCTCTTCTTGCCACATGTGAATAGAATTTTTCTTGCCAGGGGAAGGATTTGTCAACAAATGGAGGTTAGGCAAGTGGTTAGCTGTTTGGACAACAAACAACAACAACAAAAAATGTACATTAAAGCTATTACCACATGCCTTTTATAATGAAGCTCTCCCCAGACTTTAAGAACAGTGGAAGAAATTTACAGGTTTGACTACATAAAACTTACCATTTTTAGTATATTAAAACATGCCGTGCTACAAAGCAGGTAAAAACTGAGGAAAACATTTTATAACAAATATGTCAGACATGAGCCTTAACATCCTTGATATGTAAAGAGCTCTTTTCATATGAATATAAAAATAGCTGACCTAAAAATGGTCAAAGGATGTGAAAAGAAAATCACCCACAGAAAGTGGTATAGAAATCATCTGTAAACTTGGCAGAAAAAAAATATTTGCCTTACTAATTATCGTGAAATGCAAATTAAAAACGCGATGCTATTTTTTTTTAACCTATCAGATTTGTAGAGACTTTATAACATAAAGTCCGTGCTATGACAAGGACAGTGGGACAGCGACACACCCCATCGGTGGCCGTGGTTAATGTAACCTTGCCAGGAGGAACTTCGGCTCCGAGGTTGGCATCCCTACGATTGTTTAGACCCTTTGATTCCGGACTGCCCATTGGCAGGTGACTTATAATCACAGAGACATAGAACCCCAGCTGTCTCCAATGGGGAAATCGTGAAATGACTCATGTCATATCAATAGGGAGGAAATGTACCACCACCATTCACGTTGTGTCTTCCAGGAATCCCTAGTACCAGAAATTGTTCATGATATAACATCAAATAAACATACAATACAGAAGTGCTCATAGGATAAAAATTCCAGTCGAACAAAAGGGTATGTGGACAGATGTGTATATTCAAATATTTTTGCATTTTTGGAGACCAGGATAAATACATCAGGTTTTTTTTCCTGTTTGGTATAATTGTGAGTGGTTTTGCATTTTCCAGATTTTCTTTGCTGAGTGTGTGTGTTTTTTAAAGATCTTGTTTATGTATTCGACACAGAGAGAGCACAAGCAGGGGGAGCAGCAGAGGGAGAGGGAGAAGCAAGCTCCCCACTGAGCAGGGGAAGCCAGCCTCTGGGAAACTCAGTACAGTTGTTCTTCCCACAGCCCGCTTCCCTCCAGGCTGTCCCTGGTCTACACTCGCCGGCTCATACCCTGCTTCGCTCCCCACCCTCCCTCCCCACCGACACCCTGTGGAATCCTGTGACACCCTGGATTCATTTGTCACTTTTCTCCCCAATTGGCTGTAAACTCCTTGAGGGCAGAAACCGTGCCCTTTTGGAGTAGGTACCCCATAAATTAAATGGGTGTGGCTGCGTTATGTGACTAGCAGCACCGCAGGAAGAAACCGGGTGTTACCAGCACAGCTGCTTAATAGAAGGATGACCCCCGCCGAGACCTCCGAGGGGGCAGGAGGACCCCTGCTCTGGGCGCTGCACGTTGCAAAGCCCGTGAGCAAGTCTCTCTGCATGTCTCACCGGTCCTGCAGCGCACGGGAAACCTCGAAGAGCGGTCGGGAGTTTAACTCTGATTTAAGACAGAGCTGCTGGGAGCCTGCTTCTCCCTCTCCTTCTGCCCCTCTCCCATGTGCGTGTGCTCTCTCTGTCTCTCAAATGAATAAATAAAATCTTTTTTAAAAAATTAAAAAATAAATAAAAAGCTAAAAAAAAAAGACACAGCTGGATTCTCATGGGGACCGCGTCACTTGGACAGCCACGTACCTGGGGGCAGATTGCTCCCCTTCGGCGGTCCTTAGCCGCCCCACCCGTCCAGTGGGGTAAGAACAGCACCCTCCAAGGGTACTGGTGGGAACTACATGAGTCCGCCTCAGACCGAGGGCGTAGTGCGTGCTCCGTGAAGAGTAGTGTGCATGTTGTCGCTGTTGCTGCTCTACTTTTAATACTGTGATTAAAAGGGGCGAGTTCAGGGTCCGGAGCAAACGTGGGTGGGATGGAGGGTTTCTGCCTACCTGCTTGGGTCTCTGGCCTTCCGTACCCTGGCTCGTTCCATGCGGCTCAGTATTCTTCCACCGTTCTTTTCTGTTCCTCAGCAAGCTTCTCAGAGAGTGGTCCTCCACAGCCCCGAGTTTGAGGACGCGCTGTGTGCCCTGACGGTGATGGCCTCCCCGATGGCCCCTCACATCACCTCGGAGCTCTGGGCAGGTAGGTGGGGGCGTCCTCGCTGGACCCGCTACTTGCTAACCCGAATGTGCCCCAGCCTCTCATGGAACACGACTTGGGGCTCAGATGTCCTCGGGCGTGGGGCCCAGCGTTTGGCATCTGTACCCCGCCGTCAGAATGGTGGTACTTCTTCTGCGCGCTCGGCCCTGCCGAAGGGGAAGGCCCCTCTCTGCGTTGGCACCCCGCGCCCACCCCGCTGGGAATGTGGACGGCCCCACAGGGCAATCTTTTTCCGAACTCAGCCTCCCGCTCTCCATAGGCCACGACCCCACGTTCTCTTTCTAAGAGGGGAACGCAGGGTTAGTCCCACTTTATAGATGGAGAAAAGGACGCCTGGAGTCACGCTGCAGATCTAAAACTTAAACTGGGATTCGGGTCTCTCCAGCAGACCGTCTCCTAAACTGGGCGCTGAAGCGAGTCCCTGTGCCTGAGGCTCACTGGCTAAGTGGGGAAGCTTCCACCCCGCCCGCCCCCTTGGAGGTCCCAGTTCTGGAGCTGGGGGGGGATGACTGGAGAGTGTTGTTTTATTTGTTTTTTCTTTTAAGACTTTATTTATTTAGTTGAGAGAGAGAGAGCATGAGCAGGAGACAGGGACAGAGGGAGAGGGAGAAACAGACTCCCCGCTGAGCAGGGAACCCTACACGGGGCTAGATCCCAGGACCTGGGATCATGACTGAGCCGAAGGCAGATGCTTAACCGACTGAGCCACCCAGGCGTCCCGTGACTGGAGAGTTTTTAACCAGCTCCTGGGTGATTCTGATGCACACGCAGGTGGGGGACTGTGTCCCTCTACTGTTAAGACCTGGCTCTCAGAGGAAAGCCTGAGGCAAGATTTCATTTTTCTCTCGTAGGGCCTCCTCTTAAGAGCATTTTCAGGGCCCATTGGTCATTCTAAAAGGCCATCACTAGAAATACCAACATCCTGTCCTTTAAGAAATAATTTGAACGTTCTTTACCCTAAACTGTCTTCAATAGTTAATTCTTTCTTTTCCTTGTCATCTCTATTTCATGTTAATTTTAATGTGGAGCTACTTTTTCAGATGGTGTGAGGTTTATAGTATCTTCCCATTTCTTATTTTTGGACACTTAGACCCTTTATAATGATACATCATTGTTTTAAAAGTTGAATAGCTAATTTTTTGTTCACATACAAAATCCTTAGAACACATACCTAAATGTAATGCTTGCTCAGAAAAGATACAAAACATGAAGGCTTTTGATGCACATCTTCAAATCTCTGGATCCTTGGTGAATATGCACAAACAAGAGCCTCTGTCATGATTCCAGGGGTTTTGCAAGGACGTTGAAATCCCTTGGTGATAAACTCACCTGCGTGCTGGAATAACCCAACCTGGGCCCACTCCCTCCCTCTGAAGTCCTGAGTGATATGCTCATGACTTTGTTGCTGTGAGGATGAACGTCAGGGCCACGCACCTTATGGGGCCAGAGCAGGTGGGTATGTCTTAGAGGAGCTCAGGTCCCCAGGCCTTGGCCTTGGTGTCAGAGGCCTCATGTAGCCTGTCAGGACCGACTCAAGACAGAATGTGGAGCAACAGTTTGGCCACCTTTGCTTTACATGGGACTCCAGTTGGTTGCCTAAGGGTTTACAAGTAACATTTCATCTGTGAGTATTTCCAGTTTAAAAACAAGATACACTTGTAAACATTTTGATTTTTTTTTAACTTGTAAATGTTTTTAATCACTGCATTAATTGCCCCCAGGCATGACTTTGGTAACTGTTCCGGTGACGTGTCTGGCATTTGCTTCCATAATCTGCCACGGACAATTCTGGGCAGAGATCTGAGTTTCCACTTCAGATGATGCCCTTGAAGTGGAAAAGATAGGAATGTTTTTAAGACTCTCAATCTGTGTTGCCAGACTATTTTCCTGAAAAGTTAGCCCATTCCCACTCCAGGGTCTGTTTTTGAAGTATGTGTTCTGTTTCTCTGATTTAATTATTGGATTTTTCAACGTAGTTTTAACATCTGGTGTGCTAGCCTCCCTTTATTTCTTTTTTCATAAATATTTAAGTGCTTTTCACCTGTTTATTCTTCTCAGTAGAACTCTGGTATAATTTTATTATTAATATCCTTGAGATTTTGATTGAAATGTGGGTAAACCTAGAATTAATTTGGGAAGTCCTCACATCTTTACCCCTTCCAGACCTCCATGTGGTCTGTCTCTCCCTTTTTTTTTTTTTTAAGGTTTTATTTTGGGGGTGCCTGGGTGGCGCAGTTGGTTAAGCATCCCACTCTTGGTTTTGGCTCAGGTCGTGATCTTAGGGTCGTGAGATCAAGCCCTGTGTCAGGCTCCTTGCTCAGCATGGAGTCTACTTGGGATTCTCATTCCCTCTCCCTCTGCCCCTCCTGCTCATGCTCCTCTCCCCACACTCTAAAATAAATAAATAAAATTTTTTAAAAATATTTATTTTTTTAAAGATTCTATTTATTCATTCGAGACCCAGATAGAGAGAGAGAGAGAGAGCGAGCACGAGCAGGGGGAGAGGCAGAGGGAGAAGCAGACTCCCCGCTGAGCCAGGAGCCGGACGTGGGGCTTGATCCCAGTACCCTGGGATCATGACCTGAACCGAAGGCAGACGCTTAACCATCTGAGCCACCCAGGCACCCCAGAAAAAGATTTTATTTTTAAGTAATATCTACACCCAACGTGGGGCTCGAACTCACAACCCCGAGGTCAAGAGTTGCATACTCTACCAACTAAGCCAGCCAGGCACCCCATCTCTCTCTTCATTCAAGACTTCCCTTATGCTGAGTCAAGTTTTGTAGTTTTGTTCGTTTCTTTTGTAGTTTTTCTTCTGACTCTTATGCATTTCTTAAGATTATTCCCGAGTATTTTTTGGTTATATTTTATTTTTGCTCTTGTGACTGGAATCTTTTCTATAATTTTTGACTGGTAATGGCTGGTATGTAATTTTTAAAATTTATTTGCATGCTTATTCTCTTATCCAGATTCCCTACAAATCTCTGTATGTTGGGTAAGGGGTAAGATCCTCTCAGATGTGCTAAGATTCTGTGATCAGCACATAAGGATAAGTGGTCTCTTTCTTTCTAACAGTTATAGCCTGGTGTCTGTGTACGTACTGTATTGAACTGCTCAGAAAACCCTATGGGATGTTCGAGGTGCTGGTCCAGACGGTCCCTATAATGTTTTGGCATTTGTTTTTTTTTTTTTCAAGAATTTTTTAGAGAGAGAGGGAGTGTGAGCCGGGGAGGGGAGGGGCAGAAGGAGAGGGAGAGAGAATCTCAAGCAGACTCCCTGCTGAGCTCAGTACCACGACCCTGACATCATGACCTGAGCCAAAATCAAGAATGGGACATTCAACTGACTGAGCCTCCCAGGCGCCCGGATAATCCCTATAATGTTAAGGAAGCAGCTCTCTGTCCTTGTTTTCCAGAACTCATATTAGGAACGGGAGCTATATTTTATTTAACATCCGTTCTTCAGTTGTTGAGGTGTTTACATCATCTGCTTTTAACTTCCCCCTTTGCCTTGTTGATACCACTATTCCCCAGTTAATTGACCGCCTAATACCAAGCTCTCCCGGCATAGATTCTTCTTGACTGCGGTGCAGCGGACTTTGAGTTTACTGTCAAATCCTATCTGCTAGTGTTTTATTTGGAATTTGGCAGTTATTTTCCTAGGAAGATCAGTTTTTCTCAGTGTGTGTGGTCAGGCTTGGAAATGAGGGTTTCACTGACTCCACCAAGTGAATTGCATTGGGTTCCTCTGTCCTTTGTGGTGCTTTAGAACAGACTACAGAGGAAGAGACGCTTACCCATTCTTTGCTGAAGAGACAGAGTGCCCTAAAGGGAGGTTGGTATCAGGCCCTGCCACGCTAATGCCATATTCTATCATGCAGCCTTTTATCCTCCCCTTGGGAAGGAAACACGACTCTTTCATTTAGCATTGGCAACCACAGTAAGTTTTTTAAATGGCACGCGGTTCATTCTCTCCTAGTCTTCCTTTGCTTTAGAACAAACCAATCTAATTTGTAATAAGCTTACCCTTATCCTAGAATATGCACATGTCTCCCTTTTATCTTCCTGCTTTGTCCCACATTATCTGTCTTCCTCCCTCATTTCATTTCTCCCACGGAGGACTGATGTCAGTGGGATTTGCAGAAACATCCCCCTCTTGCACGCCCCTTCAGTTGTGTTGCGGGCGGGCAGAGAGGATCTCCTCTCCCCAGGGCCCTGTCCCTACATGGCAGGTCTTAGGAACCAAGTATACACTGTGGCATGGCAGGATCCCCAACAGGACACACGCTAGAGCACCGGGATAGAAACTAGCCCATTCCAAACCTTGCGCCATGATTTTTCCAACACGTCACACACAGCTTTTGTGAGCTGTAGCGTAGTGAGTCGGTAGAGATTGAATGGCAGTGTTTCATTCAGTCGGATTTATTGAGCACGTATTTTATGTGCCAGGCTCTGTTCTGGGCCTTTGTGGGAGAACTGGGGGGGGGGGCGGTCTTCCCTCAAGTTTTACAAATTCTTAGCAACTAATTTTGCTTTTTTTTAAATTCGAGGAAGTAATGGGAAACCTTTGTCTTGTGGCTCTTCACATGTGTATGTGTGACAGCCTCTGAATGAGCCACAGGGTCCATGACAGAGTCAACTGAGGAGCCCCACGCACCTGGTGTGGCACCCTGGTCATTAAGTCACAGGTGCGGGTCAGGTGCCCTCAGGAGAGAATGGAGACGTGACTCCTTCCTGCCTCTCCAAGAGCTAAAGAGCTAAAGAGGCCCGGTGTCTCAAGGTGCGGGGAGTCCTTTGCAGACAGAAGCACTGTATTGCGAGGAACATCGTTATTGTCATCCCACACTGTCAGTCATTGTCGATCCAGGGCTTTCGACAGTTTTTACACACATTTCATTTGTTCTAGAAAACTTCGCTTTCATGTAGCTTCTGGTTTAATTCCCGTGTCTTCAACAGATAACTCAGAATGGCTATAAAGGGAAG